AACTGTGCCCCACCTCACGCAAGGGGTGGGGTTCACTCTGGAACAGGCCCCCCGACTGCTAGGTGCAGGGCCTGGTCAGGAAGGAGACTGCTGGCCACCATCCTCTCATCTCCCAAGGGTGATGACATGCCAAATGGCCAGGTGGACTCTCTGTGAAGGCAGGGCAAATGAGAAAATGCCTGTAGCTGTGTGCCCTGGGCTAGCAGCTACCCCCACCCCATGATTAAGGTGGGGTCAGATCAACTGGGTTGGAATCCTGGCTCCTCCTCCCCACCCTCTTCCCCATCCTCCACCATCTTGGCCCTGTCCAGCTGGTGGTCCTGGTAAGACTGTTTAGCAGTGCCATGGTCACACTGAGAAAGTGCTCCAGGAGGTCTGCAGCTCGCAGGCACTTCCTTTGGACCACCATTTCTGCTGCAGGGCTGTTGCTCTGGGGGCTGCCCAGGATTAGGCTCAGGTCCAAGATCCCAGGTGGCCCTCCCCCACCTCCACCCAGCATCTGCCCCTGCCAGCCCGACCCTCCTGGTCAGCGGCTGGGCCTGGCTCAGCCCTCTGGCCCCTCCTGCTAACCCTGGGCTGCAGAGAAAGGATGGCCAGGCTGCTGCACCCTGGCATCCCCACCCCCAGCCTCCTTGGAACTCTTTCAAGTCCCCCAGTGCTCCAGGCTGCCTCTTCTGCCTCCAGGCCTCTGCACGTGCCCTGCGCTCCCTCTGCCAGAACACTCCCTGCCTCTCTGCTTTCCTGGTTAACTCCTCCGCCTCCATCTCTCCCTGCTCTTCCCCTGGGGAGTGTCCCAGTTAGCACCACCCCACAACACGGCACACAGCAGACGCTCCCCACGCCCCAGAGCACAGCACACACAGCACCAACACACACCGTCACGCAGACCACAGCAGTGCCTGGCACCCACGCACACGCACACACACACAAACATTCCACATGCCTCACACAGCGGGCACACGAATCTCCCACATCCACAGACCCTTCGCACACACACCTCGCGTACCTGAGCACACAGACCACAACACACTCTCGAGGGCAGTGTGCCCCCTCCTCCGGCCTCCTATAGCCTCAAGTCTTGCCCCCTCCCTGTGGCATTGTCCCCCAGTGAGGGTGGGAACCTACTATGGCCTTCCCCAATGCACCAAGTCTTGCCCAGTTACTGTCTGGCCACCACCTCTCCCGTGGTCACCACTGTCACAATCTTGCCTCCTTCAAGGCCTTCTCAAGCACACCTCTGCCCCATTTCCTCTAGAGCTGCTCGAGGCCCAGACTCACCTGGGGTCACTCACCTGGCTTGGATCTGACCTACCCTGCCCCAGCTCAAGGCCAGAGCCTTAGGGTCACTGCTGTCTGAAGTTTCAACTTTCTAGTCTGTAAAATGGGCTTACACTGAGAAGTGCTCTTTGGAAACTCAGAGACGTCCTTGTGAGCACCTTTACCATGGCCACCAGCTTCCTGCTGGGCTGAGTTTGACCCTGGGGGGTGCGGTGCCTCCCCTAGGTGAGTATTCCTACCCAAGTGAATGTTTAAAATGGCCATGAGACCTGTGCTGGCCCCAAGGGTGGGGTATTTGGTTGGGGTTTCTGACATGTGACAGGTGCCTCTTTTCCAATGACCCCTCCCAGGGGACCTGGACTGGAGCCTCCACCCCTTGTGCTGGTCCAGCAGAGCCCATTTGGCTGTCCTGACCTTGCCGAGCAGGAAGGTGGGTCTCTTCTGATGGGTGTCAGGATCGGGGACCTAGGGAGGGGAGGGGAGGGGACCCGGGAAGGAGCAGAGTTATAGGCAACCTCCAAGCTGGATGCCTCTGTGAGAGGTGGAGGCGGTCAAGCTGCCCACAGCTGCAGAATGGCCACCGGCCTCACTGCCCCTGGGTGTTGGGGCTCCTCCCCTGGCCCAGCAGGAACCCGGCTCCTGCCAGCCCAGAATCCCAGTGGGACTCACCCCGGAGGCCGAGATGGAGAAGCAGAGGCCCCTGGTCAGTGCAGAGAGGGACAGCTGTGGGAGCTGGATCTGTGGCAGTCAGGAGGGAGGCGGCCGTCTCCACCAAGCTGGGAGTCTAGCAGAGACAGGTGACTAGGGGACAAATGCAGGCAAGCCCTGCTGGGATGAAGCCAGGAGCCTCTGTGCACACTGATGGATACTTCTACACCCAACGTGTGCATTCCAGGGGCTCTTCCAGACCTTTCTTAGGTGCAGCTCCCCCTCTATAAAGAGTTTTCTAAACGCCTTCGCCTGAGGCAGAGAGCAGGATGATCAAGAGCAGAATCCGGACTCCTGCTCCTTTCTGTGTGACCTCAGACAAGTCACTATCCCTTTCTGAGCCTCCATTTCACGTCCTCCTCTGAAAATGACACCATTGGTGTGAAGCCCTTGGTGGGGAACCCAGGCTTAACTCTGTCCCAAGTTGCTGTCCCAAATTGCTGCCCCAGGCCCCACCTCCCCAGGCCCCACAACCTCTAGCCTCCCATCTGCTGAGCCCCGGTGCCCGGTAGCTAGCTCATCGCCTGGGCTGGGTCCCTGTTGGCTGGAGGCCCAGCGCCAGTCCAGTCTGGCTACAGGACAAGACAGCCAGAGAGGCCAGGGGCTCGGGGCTCCGGCCTCGGGGGATGTTTGGAACAGAGACGCCCGGAACCACTTGGCTCACTTGGCTGGGGGAGCCGCCCTCTGCCTGCTGGGCCTACGGGTCAGAAGAGGAAGGGTGACCGGCGCTCCTGCGTACCCATCCTGCCACCATGCCAGCAGGACCTGTGACACGTTCTCAGGCCCAGGAGACTCGTGCAGCTAATGAGGCAGGGCAGATGAGGGGGTCCCAGGCCCCAGGCCAGGCAGCTGCTCCCCAGAGGAGAAGACTTTGCACCCTTGTGATGCCCGAGCCGGAGCCCCTGCCCACGGGACCCCGGCCTTCGCCGGCTGAGAGGAAAGATGTGCTCAGCCCCCCACCTGACTTACAGCCCCCCTCAGCTGTGCCTCACTCGGGAGCTCCACAGAGAGCCCTGAGGAGGGGAGGCTAAGAGCAGGTGCTCACTGCAGGGCAGAGCACCAGGGGGACTTCCGAAGGTCACAATACCCCAGGATGTCAGCAGGGGAAGGGGCCTCGGGATGCCTGCCCTGGCCAACTCCACAGTCACACACAGAAAAGCTGCAGCTCAGAGAGGCAGAGGGACAGGGACCCACAGCAAGGTATTGGCCTGGCCAGGGCTAGAAGGAGGGGGCAGCTGAGCTTTGGCCCTCACCGGCCTCTGTTCAAATGTTCAGATCTGGGCCAGCTGCTCCCTGCTGTGTGCTACGCCTCTGTCACCTCTCAGGCTTCCGTGTCCTTGTGCCGTAGAATGGGGACAACAGTTCCTATTTCAAAGGTGGTTGAATTGAGATGGACAATGTGCTTAAAACGCGGCCCTGGAGCAGCGCAAGCCGCAGGGACACCCGCTGCCGTTCCCCAACGCAGCAGCGAGAGTCACTCCACCGCCCAGGTCCCAGGACACCCCCTCATGCCGGGGTCCTGCTGACTCCCAGGATGGAGCTCCAGCAAGACTGAGCAGACCCGTGCCCTGGCACTCCCAGGCCAGGCGGAAACACCCTGGGAACAGGAAATTCGCAGATAACCAGCTCATTCTCGTGGTCCGGAGGGTCAGGAAGGGTCTCCTGCAAGCCCAGTGGGCAAGGTGAAGAGCAGAAATGGTCCAGGCAGAGAGGGACATGCCTGATGACCCTAGGGAGAGAGAGCATGAAGCTGTCCAGATGAGAGACAATGTCCAAATGGCTGGTGCTCCAAACCGTAGGTGGGGGAACGCCAGGGAGCTAGCACCTGCGGCCTGGCAGTGATACCTGCGGGTCCAGGAGCCAGGCCTGGTCAGAGAGGGAAGGAGGCAGCCAGGCTTGCCTCCTAGAAACATCTGTGTGGCTGACATAAGGACACACTGGATATGGGGCGGGCAGGCGGCAGGGGCTGTGAGCCCAGGGAGGGGACAGGGGGAGGGTGGAGACAGCTGATTCGCCTCGCTGGATGCCACCCAGGGCTTGGCATTTGGCTGCAAGGTGCACAGCTCCTGGGATCTGGCCAGGGTGGGTATGTGGCTGGAAGTGACGGTCAAGAGCAAGTTCAAGAAGGAAGGGAGACCCTCTGTCCACTCAGGCGACCCCATCTCCAGCTACAACCCAGGGCCGGCAGCAGAACCACCCTCAAATGAATCCTGATTTAGAGGTCACTTGGACCTGTGGGAACATGTCTAGCTGACACCCTGGGCCCTGTGACCATGACCTGGTGCCTGGGACCCTGCAGTTCCCTGCTCAAAGGCCCCAGTGCTTTCCCTGGGTCTGTTCTCCCAAGGGCTGTCTCCGCCGCCCATCTGGGTGCCCTTCTGTCCTGGCCGGGAAGCGGTTGCCTGCAGCAGGTGTAGACAGCTTAGGTGTGCAAACTGAGTGTCCACGCCTGAGTACAAGCAGCCCCCTCATGTGAAAGGACGAAACCCGGAGTAGAAAGAAGAGAGGGGCCAAGTGGGAAGCCACAGGTCAGGGGCCAGTGTCCTCCATGCCACCATTTCTAGGGCAGACTCCAACCAGACGGAGAATTCTAAACAGAAACCCAGCCTTCCAGGTGTGTTTGCCCTTACGAAGGTGGATTTGTCAAGGAAGGAGGACAGAACATATTTTATTTAGTAGTTTGTTAGTTTGATTTATAACTTGTAAACACTTAGACTGGAGGCATATGGCGTCCTCTGTACTCCTGCCCCAGGCTGACCCCTATGCTGCCCAGAGAGTAGCAGCCTCCCCTGGCCCCACAGAGGCTCCTCCAGTAGCTAACCCTTGACCAGCAGGTTGACCCCAGGAGGCCTGAGCTTCCTTCAGAGCTTCCCATCCCGATTTTGTGCACCCCATGGGCTCAGTCTCTCCCATGCCTTTGTCTGAGCGTCCTCCTCCACCCCACCCCCCTGTTTGAAGGTTCCACTCCCTCCCCCTTCTTCCTTTCTCCCTCTCCGAAGGCCCTGGGCTGGCTCTCCAGCTTGTCGCTGGTTTTATTTGATCACAGTGGCACGTGTCATGGTGTGACCAGCTGGGAAGCGTATCTTGCATTGCTTGGGGTCCGACCCCAGCTCTGGGGCTTTCTTGCTGTGTGATCTTGGGAGACGGCTTTGCTGCTCTGAGCCTACCTCCCTCTCCTGAAAACCCATAATAATAACTACCTCTTGCAGCGAGGAGGCACAGTGGAACGCGGGGCCTACGTGTGCCCAGCACTTGGCAAGCACCCCGGGAAGGAATTAGGAAGGGCAGGAGTTACATCATTCACTTCTTTTTACAGCTGAGAAAACAAACAGAGGCTCAGCGAGGTAAAGCCGGTTGCCCAAGGTCACACAGCTCCTAGCACGGCAAGGACGGGAGCCAAGGTTGTCCAGTGCTCTAACTGCTGGCACCTCCGGCCGCCGGTCTGCTCCCGCTCTACCTCTCCCCGACCTCCGTGGCCCTCGGGCGCCTGAAGCCGCGTGGGGGCCGCGAAGGCAGGCGGCTTGGCCAGGGGAGAGCCCGAGAGGCGCAAAGGGTTAACGGGCTCCGCCGCATTGGGCCGGCCTCCGGCGGAACCAGCCAATGGGCACGCGCGGCGATGAGGTAATGCCGGGACGCGCGGGGTGGGCGGGGCCGGCGCGGAGCCCGCTGCGCCCGCCTGCGCTCCCCGCGCCAACCCCTCACCTTTGACCTTGCCGCCCTCCGCCCCGCCTCCCAGCCTCTGCCCTGCAGAAGCCCCAGCTGACGCCCAGGACGGCGGGCCTCCCTTAGAGCCTGCGGCGGGAGCCCGGCACGTCCCGGCCCGACCGGTGGCACCCTCTGGGCCTCAGTTTCCCTTGGTGATCGCCACCGGTCCTCCCGCGGGCCCCGGGACAGTTTGCAGCCCCTCCCCGCCCTTGACCTGGCCCTCCCAGGAGATGCCCAGCGCCAAGGGCCAAGGAGTTCGGGCCACGGGCGGGGGCCCAGTCACGCCCTCTACGTGACCCCGCCCCACCTATCCCCTGGGTGGCCGCCCTTGACACGTCCCTCGTGCCCCTTCGCCGTCCCTCGTGCCCCTTCGCCGTCACCTGGCCCTCAGCGGCACGGGCAGCAGCCAGGCTGGCCAGGGTTCAGAGTTCATCCAACCCCGGTATTAACTGAGCGTCTACTACGTGCCGCTCGGAGCAGCGGGCTTGGATGTCGCCTGGCTGCCTCCCCGGGCTGCCCGCGACCCGCCTCCCCTCGCGGCCGCGCCGGGCACGAAGCGGTTAACGCCTTTGCAGCGAGCTGGCACTTCGGCGCTGCCCGGGCTTATTAGTCAGCTGGGGAGGGGGCGGAGGGGAGAGGAGGGGCGCGAGGAGAGCCGCGGAAAGCTATTCTCAGGGGCTCCCGATGTGGGGAGGGCGGCTCGGCGGGAGCTGCTGCTTCCCAGAAAGTTGATTATTTTTAACCCAGGAAGAAGAAAGGAAGGAGGCGAGGGAGAAGGACTCAGAGAAAAGAGGAGAGGAGAGGAAAAGAGGAGAGGAAGGGGACTGGAGGGGAGGACAGCGGAGGGGAGTGGGGAGCCGAGTGGGGAGGGAGGACGGCCCACTGCGGCGGGAGGCAGCTGGCGGTCTGGCTGGGGAAGGCTGGGGCTGCCACCCTCCCCGCCCTCTCCAGCTCTCCTGGGCCCAGGCCGCCGCCCTGCCTCCCCAGTCCCAGCTGAGAGCAGCTCGGTCAGCCTCCCCGCCCAGGGCCAGGCTGTCAGGGGCCTGGAGGACGGAGGGGAAGACCGGGCAGCCACGGCCCTGTCCTGCCCATGCTCTCCTGCCCACGGACAGCACACCAACATGTCCTTGTCCTCGTCCTTGCAGGGAACCCTGGGGAGGGGGGCAAGGAGTGCTGCCCCTGGCCTCTGTGGGGGATCCTGGGGGAGGTGGAGGGACCTGGGGCTCCCTTTCCCCTACCTCTGGGTAGCACCAGGCTGAAACCCAGACCCAGAGAGGACACCTAAGCAGAGGATGCTGGGGACACAGAACAGGCAAGGCCACAGACCTGCCGTGGGGGCCGAGGCTGGGCAAGGTGTGGGTGAGACATTCAGTGATGGCCAGAGGCCACAGGCTGGGAAGGCTGGTCCCTGGGCCCGACCTCTGCAGGGGTCAGAGAAGGTCCCCCTGAGAAGGGTGCCTGAGGACCAGGTGGCTAACTAGGTGGACAGGGCCGGGGCCGGGGCAGGTGTCGTGGACGAGGATCCGGGGAGCCTGGGAGGAGGTGTGGCTGGAAGCTGTGGTGGGTTTCACAGAGGAGCCAGGAGGCCAGGTTTGCAAGGCTGCCTGGGCCCATAGGGGACAAGAGTGGGTGCAGGAGCATGGTGTCAAGGTCCCCAGGAAGGCCGTGGCAGCCAGGGAGTGGCCTCTGAGACAGGGGAGCTGGCCTTGGACAGTTGTGCAGAGGACAGGACTTGGAGCCATGGGGGGGAGGGTTGCAGGAGGCCAGGGAGGGGTCAGGGAGGTGCCTGGGCTCTGGCTTGTGCCATGATGGAGGCTGGTGCTGCCCCAGGGGCAGGGGACAGCAGAGGGGAGAAGGCTCTTGGGAGGCCAGGCATTTGAGGACGTGGTGGGAACAGGGGCAGAGGGACGGCCTGAGCAAAGCCTGGGAAGGAAGGGGCAGCGAGAGCTCTGGGGGCTGTTTGTGGCCTTCTCGTCGCAGGGAGGGGCGCCTCGTCGTGGGGAGCCTTGGGTGCAGCAGAGGGGTCTGGTGTGGACCCTGGAGAGGAGAAGGTTGGGTCCCAGCGCTGGGCCCAGCCAGGCACTCAGCAGATGTGGCGGCACTCAGGGGCTGGGAAGGACACTGGGCATGGGTGGCAGTGCAGCTCTGGGCAGCTTGTGGGTGAGGGTGCATGTATGTGTCCCTGGCACCGGGTCCACTGCCCTCCCCTGAGGTGGGGGACGGAGGCCCGGGGGGTCCTGTACAAACCCGCCCCGCCTGGCCACTCCAGCGCCCTTGGCCGGCACCTGACCTCTCCTGAGCAGCCAACAGCTTGGGGCTGCTGGGCGCTGGTTGGAGGGCAGAGTCCCAGCCCAGCAAGGTGCTGAGAAGGCCTCCAGCTGTGGCCAGGCCACCCGCCCACCGCTGCCTCCCAGGGTGGGGAGGTGCCTCTCAGCAGGAAGCTGCCCTTCACACCAGGCAGGACTCCGATTCCAGTCCCCCGTGGCCTGCGCGGCAGTGGCCTATCCTGGCTCTGCCATCAGCCTGGGTGGGAGAAAGGTGGACATCTAGGTGGCACAGAGGCCAGAGTCCCGGAGGCTCCAAAAAGTGAAAGGGAGGAGGGGAGGGTGGGAGGCCGCAGGGCCACCTTGAGCTGGGCGGCAGCCGCGGCGGCTTCATCATGGGTCTGCTGACTTGGCACAAGGGACTCAGCTACGTTTGCAGCCACAAAAGCCCAGGGCCTGGAGCCCTGCCAGCCCTGTGCAGGTCCCCCGGGACGGTGCAGAGAAGAAGGGAGGGCCTCGTGCACACAGGTGGGACAAGGTGTTCCCACCCCCGCAGCACTGAGCCCCCTGCCACACTGGGCCCACGTTGGAGGACGGCTTTCCGTTAGCCCCTCCGTGGGGGTGTAGCATAAAGTCACAGATTACGGGGCACACCGGAATCCAAACCTGCTGGCGGGTCCTAGGCCTCCTCCCTCCTGTGGGCAGTGCAGTGACGGAGGCCAGGCCATGGGCTCGGGCCCTGCGGTTGGTGATGAGGGGCGTGGGCCAGAGCGTGGCAAGCCGTCCCCACGGCCATCGCGTTGGGCCAGGCTGCCGCAGCTTCTGCTTGGCAGATGAGAAGGCCGAGGCCCAGAGACATCTGTAAGCAGCCCAGAGCTGCCCAGCGGGAAGCACCAGACCCTAGCGGGGGACCTCCTCCCCTCGCCCTCCCCAACCCACACAGTGACCTGCCTGGCCCTCAGGGCCCAGAGGAGCCTGTCCCCCTCAGGCATCTCTGAGCTGCAGCTCTCTCGTTGTCGGGGTCCCCCAGGGCCCTCCGAGCACAAAGCGGGTAGCGAGGCCGGAGGCGGGCGGCTGGCTGGGCTTTCTTCCTCCTCCTCTTTGTTAAGCTCCTTTGGGCGGCAGGCAGCCTGTGTTCTGAGCTCGCAGTAATTGCGGCGTCTAGACAGTGTCTGGTATGAGGCCTCCCTCTCTGCGCTGGGGGCCGCCCCGGGCTCCCATGCCCACCCTGCGGCCCCTGCTCTGTGCCCTCCGTTCCCACACTCCTGCCCCTCTGCGGCTCCAGGGACCCTCCTGCTCTCAGCTCCGGGCCCCCGGCCCCTCCCCTCTGGGCCTGGGTGCAGGGTGAAGGTGGACTGGCTGTGGTTCTGGCCAGACTCCTCCGAGGAAGGAAGAGAACCCTGGGCCACTGCCCCCCAGCCAGGGTGGATCTTTTTGCTGGACTCTGGGCTGAGCTTGGTAGGTCTGGGCTTGATCTTTCAAATTTCTAGTTCCTTCCATCACTTTCCCATCCCAGGCTCTATAGGAAAGACAGGGTAGCTCTAAGGATGAACTTCCAGTGACTCTAACCAGCAGACGCGTGCAGGTTGAGTTCAAGAGACCTTGGGGGAGGGGTGCAGGAACAGGAAGCACAGCCCAGCTCTGCAGCTCTGGGAGAGGCCGGACCCTCCTCGCTGTGGTCAGGACCAGGTGCTCAGGGTGAGCTGCAATAGTAGTAACAGCCAAAGTCGGCCCAGCCCTTTCCCGGTACCAAGCACTTGCAAACCCTGTACTCTTATTAACTCATTTAATCCTCCCAATGGGCCTATGAGAGAGAGGGGAAAATATGAATAAGCCTATGACTAATTCCATTTTATAGATCAGGAAACTAAGGCACAGAGAGGTTAAGTAACTTGCCCCAAATCACAAAGCCAGGAAGTGAGAGAGCCAAGATTTGAGACCCCTAGAAGTTGGCTCCAGAGCCCCAGTAATGACCCATAATAGGGACATTAAATGCTTACTGGGTAGCTGGGGCTGAGATTAGCACCCTACACTCGGTTCCTTTAACCTCCCCAGGCCATTAGGATCCAGGATTATGCCCATTATACGGAGGCAAAGAGAAGAGCCCGGGGCTGCTGGGTGTGACCAGATGGTGCCCTAATTCAGTTCAGGAAGGCCCAGGGAGCCAGGCCCTCCCCAGGCGGCGAGGCTGCAAGTAAAAGGCTGATCCGAGGGGCCTCTGGGACTGCCTACCCACTGCCTTCCAAGCCGGCACAGAGCGTGGAGCTGCCCCCACAGAGGCTTGGCGGGCTGGGGGCCTGCTGGGCCCTGGGTAGATTGCCTTCCTGAGCAAGGTCGCGGGACCGCAGAGATCAGTGGGACTAGAACTTGTGCAGGAGGAACCCGAAGGTCGACCCTGGAGGCAGGAAGGCTGGCGGGAGGCCCTTCCCGGCAGATTCCCAGGCTGCGGCTCTCGCCCCTTCTCTTTCCTCCTCCCAACCCCCAGGCTGCCTCACGCCCCATCCCAGCGGGAGATGGCCAGATATGGCCTCTCATCCTCCACCCGGCCTCCCTGGGAATGTCCAGTCTGCACCTGAAGACCTCAGCATTTGCTCTGGGGCTGACCCGGGCAGAGCCCTCGCTGAGCTGCCCCTCCACCTCTGTCACGAGCCGCCTGCTCTTCCTCCGCCCAGCTTGGTGGGGCCTGTGTGGGGTGGGATCAGGGCAAGATGGAGGGCCAGGACATGCTCCAGAGCAGGGTCTCTGACCGAAATGCGGGGCTCCAGTTGGTTGTTGGATATTGGGAGCTTGCAGCCTGCCTCTCAAGGAGAAGGACAGGCGCAGGTGCGTGTTCTGAGGCAAGCCAGATGACACACAGCACTGACAGGAGCAGGATCCCTATGGTCCCTGACCAAAAATCGCTGGCAGACAGATCCAGCACTCAGATAGATTCTCCTGTTGTAGAAAGATAACAGGAGACACATCCTGCAGACCTAACACCCCAGGAAGCGCCGGTGGCCCTGGACACCTGGGTTCCTCCACAGCAAAGCACACAGGCAAAGGTTAAAAGCCTCAGCATCTCAGTTTTCTTATCTCCAAAAAGGGATGTGAGGACCATGCCTAGACCTGCCCCAGGCCCTTTGCACTCGCTGGTCCTTTGGCCTGCACTGTTCCTCCCCAGGTGTCTCCTGGAGATGGCTTCCCCACTTCCTTCAGGGGCCTGCTCAAAGGCTGGCTCCACAGGCTGGACTTTCTGCGGCCACGCCCACCCCTCCCTCTCCCCTCACAGCTTTCAACCAATTAATCATTTATCAGGGGCTCCCTCCTGCAGCGGGATCCCGGATCCGGGCTCCTGAGGGCAGGACATTTTTTCATCACACTGCGCCCCCAACATCTAGGACACACCGCCTGGGACACTGGTCGTGGCCGAATGCCTGATGCTTGGGCAGTGTCTGGCCCTCGGGGAGGCAGGAGAGGCAGGAGGAGGCCGGCTGGGTGACCTCGCTGCTGTTGGCACCGCTGGGCTCCTGTTGTAATCGGGATGCCCAAGGCCCGCCCCGACCCAGCCCTCGGTGCTCCAGCCTGGGCAGTGGGCATCCCGGGACCCCAGACACCTGCCACGGAGTCTGCTCTGGTCCCTGCCGGAGAGACAAAGGACGCTGCCGGCCCCCGGGGAGCCGGCGCCCCTCGCTGGGGAGAGAAGCCCGAGGAGCGAGCGCAGCCCGGCGCGCGCCGCCAGAAGGCCATACATAATTCATGGCCAAGTGGGGCCGCGGGCGCTCGGCGGGCGGCGGGCGCCGGGCTCCTTCTGCCTGGCACTTTGCTGACTGCTCCTCGCACGTCGCCTGGTTGCATCTCCGTGGATCTGCAGGGTGTGAGCCTTCCCTCACTTCCCAGGGGGGGGGCAACCTGCGGCTCAGAATTGGGGGCCACACACCCCGTGGCCAACCAGGGCCTCCCAGCGCCGTCTCTGTCGAGGGAACGAGGGAACGGAAGAGCCTGGGGAGGGCGTGGGAGGGTCGGAGGAGACTCCGCCTCGCCCCCAGACGGGCTGCAGCGTGCTCAACAGAAGTCTGGCCTCAGTGTGCTCAGCTGTAGAATGGGAAGAACAGAAGCTGCCCCTGGGGCTATGAGATCAAAGACAGGTGGCACTGGAGAAGGCTTCTGCTGAGTGGGGAGCCCAGCCCCCCCACCAGGTCACTCAGGCCAGCACGGTTCCTCCCAGATATTTTTGGGACAGCAGTGGTAGCCAGAGTTCTGCAGTCCAGATGAGGGCGATGGGGTGGGCGGGAGGGGCTCTGTGGTCGTGAGGAAGGGCAGGAGCCTGCCATACATATTGCACAGAACAGGTGCAGGCCGCACCCCTGTTCCTGCATCCTCTGTGTTATGTCGTGGCACTACCTGGGCGTCCACAGTGGTCTCAATGCAAATTAGAATTTTGAAAGCACTCCCCTCCCCTGCCCAGAGGGCGGAGTCCCTGCAGTTAGCTCCACCCCACAACACCAGCTCCAGGGCTGGGGCAGAGGACAGGCCCTGGAGTTCCCCTCCGCTGTGGATTGTCCTCCCAGAGCCGTCCTGAGTGTCCTGTCTCTATTCCAGAGTGTTCCCATTCTCTCCCACCCAGGACGATTCTGGAAGAGACGCTGCAGGAGAACCAGGAAGGCCCTGTTGTCTCCAGGCTGTCCCAGGCTGGCCCACCGGTCTCGGTCCCCTACCTCCTGGAGAGTTGGACAGAGTGGAAAGAATGTCAGTCACCAGGTGACCCAAGCTGTGGATATAGCCTCATTTCCATCCCATGGGGCAACTCCTGTCCCCTCCTTGGTTCCTGGGCTCCTCATCTGCAGGATGAAAGACGTGGACTAGATTGTCCCAGGGTGCCCATGCTGATGGCCAGCAGACCTGCCCCTGCACTTGGCCAGACTTCTCATTCCAGAGGCTGAACAAGGGTGCGGGGTGCCAGGCTTGCCTCTGGCTGCTCTCTGAATGTGACCTGGCCTTCCAGCACCAACACAGTCCCCACAGGAAACTCAGACCAGTAAGGCCTCAACACACACCCACTGACCACTCCCCAAATGTCACATGCCAGACTAGACATTGGGACAAAGAGATGCAGCGAACGACGTACTTACTGTTCTTTTCACAGAAACTGCACTTGGGAGGGGAGAGTCCTTTTAGTAAACTCAAAATTACCTGAGATTATGCAAAGGAGGAGAGGGACCAGCCAGGACCCCAAGTGTTGGCCGTAGTGAGGGCTGTCCTCAGAAGTGACCGCTAAGTGACAGGGGTGGCCACAGGCAAAGGCTGCTCCAAAACGGGAACAGGAAGGGCAGGGGCCTGTGGAGAGAGCTCCTACCCAGAAAGAGGCAGCGCTCGCATGAGTGACGGGGAGCCCGGGGAACGGGTCCCAGGAGGCCGGGTGCCAGGACAAGGGACCCAGCCCCCAGACAGAACCCAGGAACATCTGAGATGCGATAAGCAGGGGAATTACCAGAATGGATTTCTGCTCAGAAAATCTCAGAGAAGAGTGTGGGCCCTCATTGCTGCTTTAAGTGACTTTTATTGTGTGTGGCTTAAATATCTACAAACGAAAAAGGAGACATAAAGTCCTGGTAGCTTTTATACAACTATAAAACCAAGACAGATTGATCAGTCAAATACAAAATCAATTCACATCAGATTAATCTGATGTGACATATTATGTCTTTTGCTTGAAACCCTGTCACCACCCACAGAGTAAATATGGCCCAACCACGGTGGTGCTCAGTTTGTGACAGAGACGACCGGCCTTCTACACACACGCGCACGTGTGTGTGCCACAAATGGTCTTCCCCTCAGAATAGGTAAAGAACTTCTACCAATCAACAAGAGGAGGAGGAGAAGGAGACCACAAACGTGGCTGCAAGGAAAAAAAATCGGGGAGGGGCGTGGCACTAACGTCCTTCACAGCACAATTTCCAAATGGTCGGCAAATGCATGCAACGTCCGCGGCTTGGGGATGTCTCAATCAGAGCGAAATATCTTAGACGCCATAATTTATAAGCAACAGGATTGGCTGCTCACGGTGCTGGAGACAGGGGAGCCCGAAATCCAGGTACCAGCAGAGCCCCGGGACCCCTGAGGACAGCTGCAGTCCAAAGCCACTCCCCACCTCCTTCTCGGCCGCGCCCCTGCCTATAATTGCCACCCAGCAGTCCCTTGGCTCCCAATGGGTCTGTCCACCCTGCACTGCCGCGACACACACACACACACTCACACACACACACACTCACACACACACACACTCACACACACACAGTCACACACACACACACGCACTCACTCTCACACACACACACTCACACACACACACTCACACACACACACACTCACACACTCACACTCTCACACACACACACACACACTCACACACTCACACACACACACAGCATCCGTGGGTTCATAAAAAGACGCACCGTTCGTAAGAACCCAGACTGAAGTGAATCCCAACGCCCTTCAGGAGCCGAGGACAGACAGCGAGCCGGCCCTTCCCACCCTGGTGACCTGGTGACTGACCAGCAGGGGAGGGACGACCTGGGCGCCAGAGCAGACGAATCTCAGCCCCACCGGGGAGTCCACGTATGGAAGGGGAAAGCAGGGCAGAGGCCACCCTCTGGAGTGGCAGGACGTCGGTGTCCAGGCTTGGAGGAGGGGAGCCCAGAGGACTGAGCGGTCCCGACCTTAGGGAAGCAGCACTCTTCCTCCTGTGTAATTGCGGTGTCCCAGAGCCAGCGGTGGGCCAAGGGGAGTGAGAAGCGCTCCGGGCCCCTCTGGCCCTTCCTGCGCAAAGACCACCCGCTGCGAGCATAGCCTGGGTCGGTACCCGCCCTGGGGCGGTGTGGAACCAGCTCTTCCTGCTGCAGCCCCTGGCCTTGCCCTCCCCGACCCCCTGTGGACTCGGGGCAGAGGCACGGGGCAGAGGAGGCCTGTTGGCCCCAGGACGGCCAGGGGCAGAGGGGAGAAAGGGACAAGGGCCTGAATCCCAGGACCCCCTTCAGGGGCACCCAGCGACCTAACTTCCTTCCCCTAGGCCCCACCTCCCACAGGGTCCACCAGCTCCCAATGGCACCACAGGCTCTCAGGGACCACGCCATTGACCTGGGCCTCCGGGGACACTTACCTAAACCACAGCAGCTGCTCCAGCAGGGGTCACCCTATGCTCCCCTGCATTAGCACAGTGCACTGTCCAATAGTGTCACACTTCATGACAGTGTAAGAGCCTCACTAAAGCATGAAGCTATGACCAACCTCCTCTCTGTCATTTATGATATTGTGGTCACATACTTTATTTTTACAATGTTATCCCAGAATGCATTATTATTTTTGCTTGAGAGAATTGACTAATTTTTAAAGAGTTAAGAAAAATAGCCTTTTGTATTTATTAACACATTCACCATATCCAGTACTTTGGGTTTTGTTCCTATAATTCTGAAATTTCACCTGACATCATTTTTCTTTAGTATAAAGATCTTTATTTGGGTCTGGTTGTAGCTCAGTGGTAAATAATTTGTCTAGCAGGTGTGAGGCACTGGGTTTGATTCTCAGCACCACTTATAACAAATAAAATAAGAATTCAACAACAACTTAAAAAATTGTTTTTTTAAAAAAATCTTTATTTAACCTTTCTTATACCAAAGTTCTATTGGTAACAAATTCTCCAATTTCATTTATCCAGTGTTTTTATTTTTCCATTTTGAAAGATATTTTCATGGACACCATTCTAAATGGACAGCTAGGCCCGGTGGTGCACATCTGTAGTCCCATCAGCTCAGGAGGCTGAGATAGGAGGATTGCAAATTCAAAGCCAGCCTCAGCAAAATAGAGATGCTAGGCAACTCAGTGAGACCCTGTCTCTAAATAAAATACAAAGTAGGGCTGGAGATGCGGCTCAGTGGTCAAGCGCCCCTGGGTTCAATCCCCAGTATAAAAAAGAAAAAAAAAAATTCTAAATGGACCAGCTCTTTCTTTCATTGCTTGTAAGATACTGTTCCATTGTCTTCTGACTTGCATTGTTTTTAGGTGAAGTCTGTGGTTTTTCCCTTACTGTTTTCCTATGCCCAATTTAAAATATTTTCCCAAGCTACTTTTTAGACACCCACCCCTTCTGGTTTCAGTAGTGTAACCGTGATGTGCTTAAGTGTGATTTTTTTGTAACTTTTTTTTTTTTTTTTAGTGGGGGGAGTGGTATTCTATGAACAGGTCATATCCTCAGCCCTTATTTTCTTTGTATTTATCATAGTTGGGGTCCACTGAATTTCAAGCTATAGGTTGATTTTTTAAATTTTTAAACTTTGAATATTCTTAGCCTATTGATAGCCTCATCAAATTTCGTTTCTGTCTCATTCTCTTTCCTCCTCTGAGAGACTCCAATCACATATGTGTGGATTTCCTTCTCTATCCCATGTTAATGAGGCTCTGTTCATTATTCCATTGTGTGTGTGTGTGTGTGTGTGTGTGTGTGTGTGTGCATGTGCTTCAGTGTAGATAATGTCTATTGATCTGTCCTTAAAGTCATTGTTTTTTTAAATTGATTCTAATATTCTTTAAATCTCATCAAATGAATGTTCAATTTCAGATACTGTATTTTTCAGTTTAGAATTTGATTTGATTTTTAAAATTTTTCGTATCTTCCTTTATTAGAGGTTTGATTAGTTCTCCCCACCACCACACACACACACACACACACACACACACAAAGATATGTTGAAATTCTCACCCCCACTTCCTAGGAATGTAACCTTATTTGGAAATAAAGTCATGAAGATGTAATTATCGAAGAAGGGGTCGTTCTGGAGTGAGGTAGACCTTGGTACACTATGACTGGTGTCCTCCTAAAAAGAGGCTAGAGATGCGGGGAGAATGCCGTGTGAAGGAGGGAGACATGGAAGCATCCAATCCAAGGACTGCCAACCATCTCCCCCGCCACTAGAAACTAGGAGAGACACATGGAACAGTCTCCCTCAGAGTCACCAGAAGGAACCAGGCTGCCAACACCTGGATTTCAGACCTGTAGCCTCTGAAAATATTTCTCTTTCTTTAACAACTTAGTTCATGGGACTTTATTCCATCAACCGTAGGAAACACTTCTGAAATTTCCTTTGTTGTTACCCATTATAATTGCCTTTTCCTGTAGATTCTTAAATGAATTTATTATAACGATGGAAAATCTCCCTACTAATTTCAACATCTGAATCTGTTTCCACCTTTAAAATATATTGACAGTGTCATATTTTCCTGCTTCTTTACAGTATCTAGTAATTTTTTATTGTATGCTGGACATTGTAAATGGTACAGTACAGAGATTCTGGATTGTGTTATCTTCCTTTGAAGAGTTTTGCCTATTGTTCTGTCTAGTTGCTGACCATTCACTATGATCTTGTGCAGCCTTGAGTTTAGATTTTTTTAGGGCACGTCTGTTTGGGTGTTTACTCCTAAGTCACGGTTTCCCAGGATCTCAATGAAAAGGCTGGGTGTTTACCAAGCCCCCCTAACTTGCAGAGATTTGATGTAGAAAATCTGTCTCCCCAATGCTAAGTAGCTACAGAAATCTTTGCTCATCTCCTTCCGTGTTCCAGGAGTGTTTTCCCCAAGGCTTCCTGGAGTCATGTCCGGGGAGAGTGGCTGTCTTTCCTGGGGTTTTCTTCCTCGTTTGCCAGCTGCTATGGAGGCCTGAACTCCAGCTGCCTCCTCCTGAGCCAGTCAGCCTTCTGCTCTGACTCACACACCACAGAAAGCAGGGAACGCCTCAACGTAAAACCAGAGGACTGTGTCTCTCATCAGCACGTTTCCCTCCAGTTTCTGCCTGTTATTGGTTATTCTTTGGAAATGTGAAAAAAATTGTTACATTTCCCCCCAGATTTTATCATTAGTAGCAGCAGAAAGTTAACCTGTACAGCGACCCCTTGACTCCCAACAGTGTGTGTTTCACAAATCCCTACATCGTGCTGCCCAAGACTTATGTGGTACTGATGTTAGGTCTAGTTTCAGCCTTGACGGGGGAATGACATGGTCTGGAGGTAAGTGCGAGCCTTCTTTTGTTGGGGTCTGGAGCCTGTCAACCCTGATGTCGAGCCTGAACCTCGACACTTTACTGTGTGAACTTGAGTGAAACTCTTACCTCATTGAGCCTCAGCAGCCTCGCCCCTACAGCAGAATGACCCTGTCTGCGGGACGAGGAGCGGCAGTGGACCAAGGGAAAGCCCAGCACTATCGCCTGCACGTGGTAATGCACTCAGTCAATGACAGCTGTCACTAACAGTGAATCACACACCTCTCCTATCACAGGTAAATATACCCAGATGACATGATGGTTGGCTAGACCCACTGAGGCTGTGAGTGAGTCCTCACTCTGCGCTGTGACACACTGTAGGACACCATCTGAATATCTGAAAGTCTGGTTTCCGTGTCAAGCCAGAGATGCACCATCTGGGTGCAGAGAGAGCCGGGCCCTCTGGGACGTGCCTCCTTCCCTGACACCATAGCCAAAACAGTCCCTGGGCAGAGGGAGCGCATTGTCTTGAGGCAGGGCTGGGGGCCAGTACAGCATCCCAGACAGCTGTTTGGCCTTGGGCAAGATGGTGGCCTCTTCCCACCATCCATACGTAGAGATGACCTCCCAACATAGGGTCAGAAATCAGGAGCCCTGACCCCAACCATGTTCCTCCTTGAAACCTAAGTGAGGTTTGACATCTCACTAGTCCTGCCTCAGTTTCCCCATCTGCATCAAAAGGTACTCACACCTAATGCTCCGTTATGTCACAGGCCATCCAGAGATTCTTAACAATGAGGTGCTCTGAAAACCAGAAAATCAAACACATATTGTACTCCAAGATCCACAGCCTTGCAGTGTGCTGAGCAAACTCAACAGAATCTTGCTATGAGGGCCACCCGGGAAACGCAGCCAACCCCCCTTGGGGGGAAATGAGAGCTTTCAGAGAGAGACAAATAACTTGCAATTTAAATGCATAAGAGACCAGCCTGTGCCACCACATATGCAGATAGATGCAAATGATATGCAAATGGCCCAGAGTCAACCTGGGTTTGCCAATGTCCTTTGCCAAGCAGTCAGTTATGGGGTTCAGCCAGGTCTGGTCTGTGCCAGGAGCTCACATCTGGGGCCCACAGGCTTTGGGGTGAATGTTCTAGTTGCACCTCTTCCAGGAAGAGTTCCAAGACCCAGCAGGTCATGGCCGCCTCCCTTCTCTCCCCAGGGCTCTGCCTCAGAGCCTGCCTGCAATTATCCACAGGGGTGGTTCCTTCTCTGCCTCCAATCTGTGAGCTCCTGGGGGCAGGGGATCCCTCTTATTCACCACTGCACCCTGGGCTGCAGGCGGAGGGAGCGTGGGGAGACACACAAGTCCAAGTCCTGCTCCACCTGGGGCAGGGGCCAGGCCCTTTCAGGGCCTTGCCATTGTGCTGTCACTCAACAGTGGTGTCTTTGTCACCAATGAAAACAAAACAGCATCCGTACCCCTTTACCAATGAAGATCACAGGGCCCAAGCGGGCAAGTGACTTACCTGATTATGGATTAGGAAAGGTCCCACTCAGTTGATACCACAGTGTCTTTACCCCTTCTTTCACTCTGCCACCCTTTCCAGGTGGGCTAGGGCCCAGCACAGAGGAGGGATACCATAGGAACTGGTTGACAACGAAGTCTGCCCATAACCATGCGGACTCTGTCTATGCTTCAGCCTGAAGTTCAGCTCTTAAACTCCTCTATTTGTCGGAGCAATTGTGAATTGGTTTTGGTGTCTAGGAATTTTAGGAAATGCTGCAGACACTTTTCGAGCATGCCCTTGGCCCACCTCTGGTCCCAGCTGCAGCAAGGTGGGAGGCCCTGCACCTGTTGGCAGGAGAGCTACTGTGAGCAGGTGCTTTTACCCTCAGCGTCCAACCAAGGCCTCCTGAGGCTGCAGCACAGCCCACGGTTGATGGAGCAGAGGGCCCTGGAGCACTTCTGCGATGGAGGGCAGCAGCCAGTGGACAGGCGCTTCCAGGGACCGTGCTGGGCCACTCCATTAGCCACCAGAAGCCAGCATCCCTTCTCCAGGGAGCCACACAGTGACACCCTCTTCCACCAGTCCTCCTCCTCTGCCACACCCTCCTGCCTATTCAGGTTAGCTCCAGGTCCTCACACAGGCTTTGCTTTCAAGGGACCCCAGATTAGGTCAGGAGCAGCCTCGAATGTGGCTGCGCCCACGGCTGGGCATCTTATGGACATGTGTGTAGAGGTGGGAAGCAGCCTGAGGAGCGCCCCCTTGGCAGCCAAAGAGCCCGGGTCAGAGTGCAGCGGGCCACTCATCCGCGTGACACGAAAGGCCGGGCTGCTCTCACCAGGCATGGGGGCGGCAGAGCAGAGGGAGCCGTGGGCACAGGGAGGTCAGACTGCGCTCAGTGGCACAGCTCAGACGGAAGCCCGCAGCAGCTAATCCGAGCCCTCAGACTCCTGGGTGCTGGGTGTCGTCCTGCCTGCCCTGGTGGTGGCTGTGGGCAGTGAGTGGAGACCTGTCTAAAGAGTTAAAGGCCCTGCCCCACGCCAGCTCTGACCAAAGCCACAAGCGCAAAGCCACACATGTCAAATCTTAAGTTTTCTGGTAACCACATTAAAACAAAGTGAAAAGAAACTGGTGGAATTCTTTCTAATAGTATTTGTACTTAATGCAATATGCCTAAATTTTGGCAGGTGGGGGGAGGGGTACCAGGATTGAACTCTGGGGTATTTGAACCCTGAGCCACATCCCCAGCCCTATTTTGTATATTATTTGGAGACAGGGTCTCACTGAGTTGCTTACTGCCTCACCATTGTTGAGGCTGGCTTTGAACTCACGATCCTCCTGTCTCAGCCTCCCAAGCCACTGGGATTACAGGCGTGTGCTACTGTGCCTGGCTAAAATATTATCATTTTGAGATGAAATAAATCTTTTTAATTACTAGTGAGATGTTTACTTTTTGGCCACATCACACCTCTGAAATCTGGTATGTGCTTAACCCTCAAAGTGCATCTCAAGGGGCCAGGGTCATAGCTCAGTAGTAGAGCACTTGCCTAGCATGTGTGAGGCCCTGGGTTGGATCCCCAGCACCACATAAAACTAAATAAACAAAATAAAGCAGTGTGCCCACCTACAACTAAAACTATTTTTCAAAAAGAGAGAAAAAAAGTGCATCTCAGTTCAGATCAGTTGCATTTTAACTGCTCGAAGTGACATGGGGCTAGTGGCTGTCCTGGTGAATGGTACTGTCCTAGCCCTGGCTGGGCCACCTCTGTCCCTGTGACTTTGAGCAAGTCCCTTCCCATCTCCAGGGACTCTTCTGCATATCAGGGCAGTGATTCCCTCCTAAGGTGTCTCAGCAGACAAGCCCAGGGAAAGGGCTTTGGGAACCCAGGGGCAGTCGCCTGGGACCTCCTTCCCAGTCTGTGCCCTGGTGGCCAAGGGGCCCACAGAGACCATCTGACCAAATATGTGCCTCTTATTCTTGAGGGCCACAGGTTTGGGGAGCCCTGTATCCAGTTCCCCTTAGGGTGGGGGTGGGAAGAGACTCTCTTCCCAAGCTTGGGCCTGGAACCCTACCCATGGGAGGAGGGGCCTGGGAGGAGCCCGGGACCGGTCACTCTGTGCTCTTCTGTTAAGACTGTTTTATTTATTTATTTATTTATTTTGTTATTGTTGTTTTCTTTTTTAATCAACAGTTTTGGATTCACAGCAAAATGGAGAGGGCGGTGTGGGGACAGTCCTTGCCCCTGGAAGCCCCTCTTCCTCACCGGAGCCGT